TAAATGAGCTCTGACCCGTGGTTTGTTTCAAGGAAGGAGCAGGCTGTAAAAACACTCGGAGCTGCAGCTTCACGGTTCCGAGTGGAGTCACTTTACTGCAGTTCACACACACGCTTACTAATGTGAAGGCACCTTTCTAGCTTATCAAGATTCTCAAAGCTCTTTAGAAACAATCTGTGCCTCATTTACCCATTCATACAGCACTCTACTAGATCTCTACAAAGAATAATCAGAGCTTTATCACATTCATACACCGATGGGACACATCAGAGGCAATGAGGGGTTCAGTGCCTTGCCCAGGAACACTTCAGCATGTGACTGCTGGTGGAATCGAACCCCCAACTCTCCCATTGGAGGAGACTGCTCTAGCCTCTCACCCACAGCTGCCCTCAGCTGAAGAGGATTATTATTTAATATATGTAAATAAATGTAAATAAATGTCTAAAAAATAAACTAATGTATTTTTACATTGGTTTATTTTTTAGACATTTTTTCTGTACAGTTACAGCTGTTTGTTAGTAAATGTGCCTGTGTGACAACTGGGACAAAGCTTTGACTCAAATATATTTTTGTTATTACTGTATGGAAAGAAAAAATATTGAGATATATATCATATATCGTGATTTATCATAAAATGTCGAGATATTAATTTTGGTCCATATGGCCCAGCTCCAAGTTGCACTAATACCAAAAGTCATAGCAGGATTGTCCTGAAAAAGCTGAACATTTTGAAATAACCATCCAACCATCCATTATCTTCCGCTTATTCCAAAGTCAGGTCGCGGGGGCAGCAAGTTGAGCAGGGAGGTCCAGACATCTCTTTCCACAGCCACTTCTTCTGCTCTTCTGGGATGATTCCAAGGCGTTCACAGGCCAACTGAGAGACATAGTCTCTCCAGCGTGTACTGGGTCTTCCCCGGGGTCTCCTCCCAGTTGGACGTGCTTGAAGCACCTCCCTAGGGAGGCGCCCTGGGGACATCCTTACCAGAGTTCATGACCAGAGGTGAGGGTAGGAATGTAGACTAACCGGTAAACAGAGAGCTTTACCTTACAACTCAGCTCTCTCTTCACCACTACAGACTGGTACAGAGTCTACAATACTGCAGATGCTGCACCAATCCGTCTGTCAATCGCACGCTCCATTCTTCCCTCACTATTTTGAAATATGATTTTTTTGAAATAACACAAAAATTGTGGAACGAGAATCGTGCTGAAAAATGTACAGAAGAAAAATGGATCACAACAGTGTGAACGCTTCATAAACATTCACTCAATGAACGATGCATAAAATCTTGGAATTGAAAGCAGAAGTCAGGCAAACGTCCTCCTTTTTTTTTGAGAGAGAGAGAGAGAATAGAACCAGCAGTCTTTGTGTTTGTCCATTCAGGCCGAGGACCTGCAGCTGCTGATGCAGAAGATGGAGAACTGGGCCCACAGACTGTTCCCCAAACTGCAGTTTGAAGATTTCATTGAGAAGGTGGAGAAGCTTGGCAGTAAGAAGGAAGTGCAGGTGAGATGGATCTGCTGATCTTCAGGTGTACTGAGCAAATCCAGGTCAGGTTCTAAAGGCCCCTTTCTGTGCAGACTTGTCTCAAGCGAATACGTCTGGATATGCCTCTGACTCATGAGGACTTTCAGGATAAGGACGGTAAGAGACGACACGGTCCAGATCTTCTTGTCATCCTTTAGCCGTCTTCAATGATAGTTCTCTCATTTGTAGCTGAAGCACAACCACCAGCTGAATTACAAGCCTTCGAGGATTTTGATCCCTTCAGCAGTGAGAGTGCCATTAATGTCCACTCAACACCGGCCCCCCCAGCTCTTGCTACCCCCTCTCTCACTGAGGAGCAGCTCAATCAGATACAGCTAAACCGGCAGCGAGCGATGGAGAGGAGGCTCGCCCGACAGCACCAAATGGGTGAGACCAACGACAATCGGTGTTTTCATCTTCAACCGACATGTTGTACAAACTGAAGCAAAGGTCCAGGTTCTGAGAAAGGGAGCATCTGAAAAAGAACAAAAATATTAGGGGACAAATATTTATGCAGTCACATATTTTATGTTCAATGTTTTTGTTTAATTAGCATTACTTAGTTAGACAGACTTGATGTCAACACCAAAGGTTTCTGGAACGTCGTTTGTGCAAAAGGTTAATTTATACTGACAATGATGCCAAGAAAGCTTAAACCATCCTAGGGGCTGAATACTTTTTATCCACCTTATTCCTAGCCCTCATGCTGCCTTGAGTGAATTATGGGAACAATTTCCGGCATGGGCCAGAACCAGTGTTTGTTTATCTGTGAACAGTACAAGTTAATGTAGTTTCTCTGATCATTGTGGATTTAATTTAAACATGTATGATCAACACCTATCAGAGCTCAAATAGGACAATATAATCATATCACGGCCTGCTGAGGACGAGGGATGGAGGACAACCTGAAGAAGTGGCTGCAGATTACATCTACTAGCATATTTAGCTACATCTACTAGCATATTTAGCTAC